AGGTAGGTTTCCAGCTCACCAGATCTATCACAAATATCAACAAAAAATAGCATGACTACTTTACAGTATAGCTCTCACTAGCATCCTTTTTCTCAGGTTCTTTCCCCAGTTCCAAATAGATCTAGCAAGTGATTTGCATTTATGGTCAACCTAAACAAAAGCAAAGCTAATTCAGTAAACTGGCCACGGTTCTTTCAGCATCCAACCAACCTCCTGCTGTATGCCTCAACTTAACAGAAGAGTATTAAATATTGCACCTGCCAGGTTACCATCCCAGTTCACATACAGCTGAGAGTATAATACAGAGTTTCTTACCAGGAGCTTCTGAGAATGCTAATTTTCTGTAACCTGCTCCAAAACATCACCTGTTAAAATCAAATGAGCTGCTTGCTCCTTTATCTAAGAAGGGATTTTTTTAAAAAGTCTCTAATGTTGCTAATGACCAGTCAATTAAATAATCCGCAAAATCACTCACTAGCTAAAAGACAAGGAGTTCTGAAGGAAATTGCCTCTTCCCTCACTCTGCCCATGCATTAATTCTGATTAGTTATGCGTTTGTCTTGGGGAAAGTAGAGCAGAAGAGACTTGAAGATGTGGATGGCATTATCTTCATGAACACACCATGTCCAAGGAATGCAACATAACATCTCTCCCTATTCATGTCTTTGCCATCTTTGTGCTCATTTATCCCACATTAGAAACTTATTTTTATTTGGTATACTTCAGTTTAACAATACTCTTATAAATGCCTCACAGAAGTTATTGCAATTGGCACAGAAAGGAGCCTTTTAGTCAACTCAAGACTCGCATAGCCATATTTTAGCAGCAGACAGCCCCAGGACCAAACAAACCACACAAGCAAGGGAGTGCTGGAAACCACACAAATCTTGTCTTCCAACTTCCCTTCCATGTCCAAGCTCAGGCAGCTCCACAAAGTTGGGTCATATAGCTGCTAGTGGACAACCTCAGCTTTCAACTGTATCAAATCTTAGTGCAGTCACTCCATCTGCTAAACAAGCCTAAAGCAGCATTTCTGCCAGGGCCTCAGCTGAGAGCATGCTGGAGTGAGTGATGCGAACAGAATTGAATGCAATTCGGTTTTCAGTCCTTGAGACTAGGCATTTGAATTTTAACCTAGAGTACAGGTGAAAATATATACAATAATCTCATCCCAGCACTAGTTTTTCCACAGCACAATTTGGATTATTTATTACTTTCTGCCCGGAGAAATATCAGGACCCAAGTAAAAGGTATCAGAAATGGAGCATACAACTATACTTTTGGCAACTTAATGCTATTACAGTTACATTAATATGGGTGCAGACCAGCAGGTGTGGGTCAAAATCTTCTTAGAGCTTCTCTTGAAGAGAGATCTCAAGTTCAACTTGTTCACAACCATCGTGTGTAATATTGATAAAACCTAAGCACAGCCTTGAAGTCTTAAACGTAAGCAGGACTTCAGTAGTGGTTCCTGGACTCTTTCCATAGATGTGATTTTTATCTTTATTTTCTACCACATAGCAGCACCTGCAATCAGCATTTTCAATACATTTTGCAGGGTCATTGAAGGTATGATAACTATCATTCAGTGTACAAAGCAACAGCTAGGAATGGATGAACAATACCTAGAAAATACTTAACCTAGCAAATATCACTCTTCAGTTTTGTCTCCACCCTGTTGATGCTCTTAATGTAAATGCATAAAGCTCAGGAACTTTTTTGGTTTATCCATACATATTCCTTCCTTCAGTGTGGCAGGCTGACTGTGAAAGACATAGCTGAACAAAAATACAGACAAGGTTGGCAACAGCTCCTGAAAAAACCTCATGTATGCAGTCTTTTTGCACCCCTATTCCTTCAAAAATTAAGCAATGCCCCCCAACCTTTCTGTTTCTTAAGTCTGTGTACTAAAGAAATGCTGCTAATCATTGATACCTTGTATTTCTTCTACGTGACTAGGATAAGAATCAGGACACACCTCTGATAGGCTCCAGACAGGAATTTCCATACCCCTTCTTCAGCGAGGAGTCAAAAACAGAGCAGAAAGAAGATAGTATTTAGATCAATGGAAATACCATATGGAGAGGCAAAAGTAGTTGTGACCATCTTGTGGTATTTATTATGAGTGTTGTTTGGACTGGGCACAGTCCTGAAATACAGTTCACAGCATAACGAATGGGCACCGACATGCAATATCCTGTGAAAAGCTAAAGCTGCTCCAAGCTGCCTGTCTAAAAGCAGGGTTGCATAGAAAAAGTAGTTTGAGTTGTCATTTTCAACAAAATATTTCAACAGGAAATTTTGATAAAAATCATATGTTAGAGTTTCTTTTCCTTCCCATGGTCTTTGAGAAAGAAATGTCCAAGATATGAAGCTGGTGAAAGGCAGAATTCTTTTTCACACAAACTTTTTGAACACTGGGGAACATTTGAAAAGCTAAAGTGAAAAAAACCCAAAGCTTGTATGCATGGCAATATAAAAACAACTGAGACAGTTGATTCTGCTTTATTTGTGTGTAGGCAAAAAAAAAAAAAAAAAAAAAAAAAGAGAAACCAACCCAGACCCTAAAAATAATCCATTCTGAATTTTTCCATAAAGATAAAAAGTGAAGCTCTTTAAAAATACAGACACAAGAGAAGCACAATAAGAAATACAAGCTATTCAACCAGGCGCATTAGCAGGATTAAACTGACTATAATCAGTTATCTGTTGGGTGAAAGACAAACTGCTTGATGTGAATGTCTTAATAAGGACCAGCAGAAAACAGATTGGATTGTTCTAGTGCTGTATGTTAAATGATAGCTGTATGTGCTGACATACAGTCTCAAGCAACTCTGTTTAATAAACTGAAGAACTTATTCCAGTAATAGAATTTACTGAGTAGTGGAACAGGCTGCCCAGAGAGGCTGTGGAGTCTCCTTCTCTGGAGACATTCAAAACCTGCCTCGACGCATTCCTGTGTGAGCTGCTCTAGGTGGTCCTGCTCTGGCAGGCAGGTTGGACTAGATAATATTCAAGGTCCCTTCCAACCCCTGACATTGTGATTTTGTGCGATATGGCACCCAATATAATGTAATGACTGCAGTTGAAAAGATACTTACTTGGCTTTATTGATTTTGCTGATCCTACTGTTAGATAGCCTGTTTTTCCACGGAGTCCAGAGCAAGATATTAGAGCCCTCTATAGCAATGAAATACTACTTTGGCTTTATAAAGGAGGCAAACACTCCAAGGATCTCTCACATACTCTACTGTTCAGCATTGCACACCTACAATTCACACTCCATTTTTCTTCAAATATCCATTGCTTCCAAGTAAGTACCCAACACATGAATAAGAAAGCACCTCAGAACGGTGTATGGAGCAGCCTGCATGGCAGAAAGTTACAGGGAAGGCACCAGTGGCCAAAACCCAGAAAAATACCATTCTAGGTACTTCAGCATACATTTCTAGTCAGAAGGCACAGCACCTATCTCTCACTTAAAGCGCTTTCTCTCTTATTCCTGCCAGCCCTTGCATAGCTAAAACCAAGATGGTGAGCAGGCAAGCTTTAACATGCTGTAGTTAGAATACCCAAACACCAGGAACTTAGATACAAATCTCTTGGGCCTAAATCCTGAAGTTTAAAATAGCAAATTTTGCAATTGCCAAGCTAAAATCTCAACACTCCATCCTGACAACATTTGACCTTACACAAAACATTTTAATTTTCATAATCTGAAGAGAATAAGTCCCCCTCCTTGAAATAAGTATCAGTGCAAGATCATCCAGTCATGACAGTGATAGTGAACTACTATGTAAAAACAGAATCCTCATTTATTAATAATCTGAGAGGGTTTAACAAATTTACTGATAAACTAGGAGAACATCAGTAATAATAAGTGGCAGCTCTGTACTTAGCACAAGTGATTACTTGGTACAATAGGACAGTTGCCTCTACATACTCAAGAGGTGTAAGGAAGGGCTTTGAAGTTGGATCTTCCTCAAGTATTTTGTAGAGACAAAACTGTATGTGGAAGTTGCATCAATAGAAAAAAGCAGTACATAACTCAAACCTGGGGCAAAGATTTATTTCTGGTCACCAACTGAGATCATGAAATGAAGGGAGAGAAGGAGCTCAAAAAACCCACCAGTCTAGACATGTGAAGAGGGCTGGCTTGCAGCTGCCTAAGGTAAAGGTCATGAATGAGGCTAAGCCTGACAACAGTGAATATACGCAGGTGTCCCACTAAAGCAGTATCTCCCCTTCACTAGCCCACCAACAAATTACATGGAGCTCTGAAAGAACACACCTTCTTTGAAGCAATTTTGTTAGCTTTCATCCTTGCAAAGCTGTTTGAGGGTATTTAAGTATTCGAGATCAGAATTATTCTGCTACATACAGGGCAATTGGAATTTGCTTGCTTTCTTTTAGGGAAGAAGAGGAAAAAAGGGAAGTCTTATGACATAAATAGTCACTAAAGCAGTAGTTCTCTGTTGTCTACCTTTTAATCCCTAGTTTTCTCTAAGAACACCTTTTTCTAAAGCAGTCTGTTTTTCTTTATTGTTCATCAATTACTATAGAGAAAGGTTGAGACACAAATGGCAACATCATGTTCATCTGATTGTGAGAAGCAGATGAGAGGTCTGCAGTAATGCTTACTCCAGATGAGATGTATGTACTAGGCAACCCCTGATATTGAAGGATTTCGTAAAGATTCTTTCTGCAGTCCAGGCATTTGATATGTGCTATACAAAGCAAACAACTGAATCAACTCTCATTAAGACGGGATATCATGTACTGCAAGACTTCAAAAAAGTTGTCCTTATTTCATCTGTGCCATTAATCTTCAGTTGCCTGGTTGCATTCTGTAGCTTGTTTTGGACTAGCGTTGAGTAAAGAGACAGTCCTGTAGGTGTAGCACATTATCTACGCAGTTGCAATTTCCACCCTTGACTTCAGTCAGGTTGTTCACTCAGAGCTTAACTGTGGTCTCGGTTCACTCTGTTGAATAGTCTGAGTCATGCACCTTGTCTCTGCAGAAGAATCTCCTGATCCCCTGGTAGGCAAGTGAAAGGCTTTATTAAGTTCCAGTAGAGACTGAGTGGAGCCTACTATTACAACAGTTTGCAAAGGCTGATTGCTCCTTATATCATTTAGCATCAGAGAAGCCCACAGATTTTTTAAAATAATTTGCAATGCAGTTTTTGCTTTCCAGATCTTACTGCAGGAGAGCCTGGCAGACCTGACTGAATACAGAACACTTGCATCATTTTAAAGTGAATGAAAGAAGTGGGTGTTAGCGGCCCTGATACCTGCCATTTCTAAATTTAGTTCGTTCCCTCCAAAAGTTCAGTTTAGGAATCAGTGAGGCCTCACTGATTTCCCAGGGCAGGGGGCTCAGAAGACTAGAGAACATGCATAGACTAGTTGAGTTATACAGCTTCAGCAAAGTCTCACTTACTGATTGAAAGGGGTAACTCATTTCTCCTGGGGAGTAAGCAAGTAAGTTAAAACCAAGGCATTAATTAGGACATTATATAGTCTTTATCAATGCCTGCACTCCTTAAGACAGTTTCTAAACTCCTGAATAGATGGAAAGCTGCGCTATGTAAGAAAGAATATACAGGCTTTAAGTATGTGCAACTCTACTGTTTGTTTTGTTTTGTTTTTTTTTTACAGTAGTCCTTACTGAAGATTGGCAGCTAGTAAGCTTAAGGCTCAGTAATAATCACGAGAGATGTTGATCTCAGGGAAGATTATGATAAAGTAGTCTTTTCCTGTTACCAGCTTCAAAACTTGGAGGACACCATCTGGTCTGTCATCTCAAACAAAACAGTGGCTTGGAGCCACAGGGAAAAAGGCTGATGACTGAGGGTCTAGGTACTCTCACTGGAAGTTGTAAGGTGTAGCAGTACTTACATAACAGCAAAGGACACAGAAGCAAGAAAGCCAGCAAGCAGAAGGAACATGAGAACACTTAGGATCGATGCAATGACAATCATGTCTCCACTCCTTCGACCAGGCCAGGTATCAATTTTCAAGGGAAGTTTAACTAGAAAAGCATGGAAGGAATGTTGCTATGACTTACTTTTGACCATGAACACCCCCACCAAATAGGAGAAAGCTGGTGATTCAGGAGAGGCAAACTGATTATGCCTGTACCTGAAGTCTTAGATGATTTATGGGAAACAGGTTTAAGACTCATCAGCATTTACAGTTTATAAGCTTTCCTCAGCAGGTTAGCCAGTTTGACAATTATCTGTATTCCTGAGAAGTGTTAACAGCACCAGGTACCATGACATGCATCACACCTGAAACTGCACGTACAAACTTTATCTTTACTAAAAGAATTATTTTGAAGTACACAAAGTAGTAGAGAATTACTCCATATTTAAGTCTGCTACTCCGATATTGAAAAACGGACAAAATTGTTAAAACTTTAGGAAAGGACTAGGTGTTGCTCATAGAGCAATAGTGTCCCAAGGCAAGCACGACTACTAAGACCTGAGCAAAGCCACAGACTTACCTCTTCTGGTTTTGATTGGATCAGACCAGAGGGTTTGGTCTTTCATGACACCTTCAGTGCTATCTACCAACACATATTTAAACCTGTGGGGAAAAAGTGTTAAATCAGGTATTTCAAATTTGAGCTTCCTTCCTAGCAGTTTTAAGCTACTGGATTAGCTGGTCAGACTTCAGGTTTTGTCAAAGCATTAGATGGAGTCAAAGGTAACCGATTATTTCCAGAGACCTTATAAAGAATAAATAGAATTAATCATGGAAAAGCATTCTGTGGCATGTCATGCTGTTTACACTTTGTTTTTGTGAGCCTCGGCAGATGATAGCTTTCCAACAGGTTTTCCCAGCTTGCTATTCCCTGTCGTGAAGAGCCTCATTATTTAAGACAGCGAGTGGTTTTGATTTCCATATGGAAGTCAAAGATTTTGCCCAACAATGGAGAACTTTGGCACTTTCCCTACTAGAAAAGGGTATCCAAGAGACAGGCCAACATCAGATTTGGCAAATAAGTTTCTATTCCACATTTGTTTGAGTTTTTAGAAGTGTCCTGAAGAGACAAAACAGTTTGGTTTTGTTTCAGAAGCACATTAGGTCTCCACAGCAGATATGGCTCTGTGTGACTGCCATTTTTACCACAGTTTTTAAATAGCTGGCAACAGCAAAACAAGTGCTTCGGGTAACAGCTGTCAGGGTGCCCAAATTCCCCAGATGGCCAGCTTCCACAGACAACAGCTGTCAGACAAGTCTGCAAGCCACTTGGCCCTCACTGTGAAGGCTCCAGTAACATTAGGGGCTTCCTGGAGCTGGAGACCAAGGAAAAGTTTGGCTGCCCAGAATCCCATCAAAACAAAGCAAAAAGAGCCAGATCCGTGTCTGCAATTTGGCAGAATCATCTAACAAAGTACACTGTGAATAATCTCAACATCATTTTCCAGTCAAAATCCTTTTCTACCAGCAGTTTCTGATCAGATGCTGTCACTGAATTACCTACTCCAACATAAGTACAGATCCAGCTGTTCGTGCATGGATTTTCCTACTCATCCGTGAATTTAACCTGATAGAACTCACCACTGCTAGGACACCATAGAGCACCACCTGCAGGGTGCTAGACAAAAGCCAAACCATCTTCATAACTATGCTTGCAATAGAGCATTTCAGTTACGGACTGGTGATTCGCATCATACCATTAAAAAGGAACATTACAGACTCAGTGTTGCTTCCTACTGTGTATTAAGAGCATCAATCACCTTATGAGAAATAAGAATTATACCTGTATGTTGTGTCTGGTGCAAGAGGTGGGTTACAGACAGCTAGGAAGTTTGGGTCATACAAGCAAGTCCCATCATCCCCAACTCTGAAGAGATATTGTTTCAGGACATCAGAAACTTTGTTGACATCTCCTACATCAGCAAGTTTGGGAGGCGTGGCACAATTGGGTACATTGAACAAGGCAGCCTTGTAAGGTCCAAGTTGCCCCCCACTTGTTTGTTGGAAGGTGCTGTCGAGTGGTTTGCCGCTGTTGTCGGTCACCAGGGAGCTTATTATACTTGCTGCAGGAGAGATGCTTTTTGTTAGAACTAGTTCAGCCCTTTCCATTCACTCTGTATTTACTTGGCAACTTGCTCTTCTACGCCAAAACACCCGAAAGGGAAATCAAAAAGCTGCTATCACATTGGCTGTGTAGCAGTCCTACCCCTTCCTCCTTATTTCTTGATGAAGCTCTTTACACTTGTCCCTCAGAAACTGTGAAAGATCCACAGCATATCTCAGAGTAATACTTTTTAGTAGCCACCCTCCCAAAATTCCTATTTTCAGAGGAGAATCTGATGGAGCAGGGAGGAGAGCGGCAAAGGCTGCTCTTCCCCCATGCCAAATGCAGCTCCAATAAACATCTGGTAAATCCTGCCATTTCAGATGTGATACTATAGCCAAGGCAGAGTTCCTAAAGAGTCACAATTCTCCTGTCTCCTGGAGCACAAACCCTTAGACCTCTGGTCATACAGCAGCTGGACCTCCCAGAACCACACAGTCTGCAGACGAGTGTGTAGGGGCTGCATGAACAGATGTGGGATCTATCTACATTTCTGGCCAGCCAGGCATGTCACTGCTTCTGGGCAGCATGCCTCAGAAAGTCTGAAAGTCCTCACAGCTTCAAGCAAAGTGTGAATCTGTGCCCAGCCCTACAGCATAGTTTGGAAGTTTGGTTGCAGCTCTCAAACCTTTCCTGCTGCAAAGCCAAGGCCCAAGTCCCAAGAGATGTGCCCAAGTTCTGCAGCTGTGGGTTACATTTTTGGGGGGAACTGCTCCAGCTGTTCAATGCTGTCAGCAGAGAAGGAATGCCAGTTTTTCCAAAGCTATGGTACTTCGGGAACTACTCCAGTTTGGAAGCATTCTGCTGTGCTCCTGGAGCAGAGTTCTTGAACCTGCTTGGTCATGAGAAGTTTTTAGCTATGATCCAATGCAAAATTAAACCTGTTTTAAACAGGAAAAATTTCTAGCACAGGTTAGAAATCCAGCTTTAGGGTCAGTGCTCAAGTTATTTGAGCTCTGATAACCCTCTCTTCAATAGGAGCCAATAATATGAAAGCAAATACTAGCTAAGACATGCTCTATTCCTAGGCTTGCTTCCCCAAATTATAACACTTCTCACAGCTAGGTCTTCCTGCTCTCCCAGTCTCCACTTCAATAATGCTTAGCCTGGCTCTGGCAAGCAAGTAAGAGTTGATGCCTAAGCAAGTTCATTTTATGTTTGTAGTGTTTGTTTGGTTGGTTTTGAACTTTACTAGGTAGATCAAGCCTGATAGTAACATTAACAAAATAGAGCCAAAAGTTACATTACTTCTTCAGAAATTTGCTAGACCCTCAGCTTTGTAGTATACTGACACATTTCCTTACCGGCAGAGCTGAACATAAGATGTTAAGAAAATTAAATTCTCTTAAATTTTACTTCTCCCTGCTCCATGAGGCATCCAAGGGTGAGCCAATGTGCTTTGCTGCAGATCAGAGACAAATCCAAACAAAATTCCTCAGCAGTCTGCCAAGTAGCAAGTTTGCATCTGACTGATTGCCTTAAAAGCAGCAGAAGAGATTTCTCTGTATATAACCTCTTTTGTAGAGATTCATCCATCTGTGAAGGAAGGTTTTGCCACAGAAATTGCAGAAGAAGGGATGGCTGATGTGATTTCTAACACAAAAACATCACATTTGCAGGTATAACTAGGTATGAGTAGCCTTTTGTATAACTATAATGCACCTATAGGCTGTTTTAGACATATAAAGACGTGCACTTCAGTCACGGGATGGAACTCAGAAGCCTATGCGTTCACAATTTTCTATGTTAGCTGTACGAGGTGGTGCCTTTGATCACGGCTTCCACCCATCCAAGGCCACCTCCTTCCACCTTGTCCAAAATAGCCACAATCAGCAGCGGAAATTTTAAGACTGTTTTGGCTGTTGGCCAGTTTCGCTACTGGCCCCCTGAAGATCTCTTCTCTGTGCCTCACAGAAAAAGAAGTTCAATACAGCCTTCAAGGGAGAAGGCGTGATACAAGTCATTTATTTCTGTCAGCTTCTGGAGTAGCTCTAGCTGGCATTCCAAACCATCTGCCAGAACAGCAGGGAACAGAGAAGGCAGCTTTTGGTCACTGCCAGCAATGTTTCATTGCCAAACAGTTACGAAATTCATTTTATGAATGGGCCAGGCATCTCTGACCGTAAGTCTAGCACGACTTGCCTTTGTTTAAAAAAAAAAAAAAAAAAAAAAAAAAAATGCAGTCCTTGCAAGGGATGGCTACCCTAACCATGAAACAAACATCAGCAGTTACCTGGTTTCTCTCAGCAGGTTTATTTAGGGGAATGCATGCTTTTATCAAGGCACTTGTGTTTAGACAAAGATAAGGTATCAGACTGTGGACCACTTGGTTTCATTAGCAAGATTTGGGCAAAAGTTTATGGCTGATAGTGCTTCTCCACACCTACAGGGAGACAGCTAGCACAGTATTAACACTTGCTATCATTAATCAGCCCCATTGAAATACTACGATTATTTATATCATATTTTATAATAATACCCTAGAGAAAACTGAGACCAGAGGCTCAGCTTGTACATGGCTTACAGCTACAGATCTTTCTTTTTTCCACCAATCAGAGCCACTCCCATCAAATTGTGAAGAATTGCACAATGGCCACATCATGTAGTTATCTTCCAGAGATATGTAATGCTGGATACTCACCTGATTCCTTCATCGCGTACAAGTAGATGACGTAAGATTTATTTGGACCCAGTGAGCTATCAAACATACAGAAAGGTTTTTCTAGAGCAACTGTAGTAAGAGTTGGATTGTTTGTAGCAAGGTGAGGGGCTGCAAGCTGAGGCTTCAGGTTTTGATCTACAAGAGAAAAGCATATGAAAAATCTTTCTCCCCCACCCCCCCCCGGCGCAAGTTCTGACCCAAAAGGAGGAGAATCTGGCAGTGCAAACAAAAACCATTAAAACATAAAAGGGGATGTGAACTGCCACTGGGCAGGAAACAACCTACCTGCACTGTGAAAGTTTGAGACTTAGGGGTTTTGCTTTAATGCAAAATGGGGAACCCAAGGATTTAGGGAGGGAAGTAAAGATGTTGCTCCTCAAACACAGGGGTCACATTACCTCAGAAGGACAAAGGCAAAGCCTTATATCTCCCCTTATAGGGGAGACCTGAACCTCTGTCTTTAGGGTCTCACATGTAGCCTCCCCCCTCCAGTGGCAGCACCAGAAGCAGTACAGTCAGTTCCTGAATCCTTTAGCAGTAAGGAGTCTTAATAAGGCTTTTAAGACCAGTCTAGTTAACACAGAGAGTAAGAGATTTAGCAAAGCCTTACAGAAAGGAAAGCTATCTGGGAGATGCACTGGAAAGAGCAAGTGGTATTAGAATAAAGTTTATGTTAGACACTCCCCTGCTCCCCACACAAGCTCATCCTATCTCCAGTGTCCTGGGGAAAATGAACTAAAAATCAAGAGAGAGAGACTCAGCAGCTCCTCATGGTTCCCGGCCTAGCTGAAGTAGACACTTCAACAATCGTCCAGCAAAGTACATGTTTGAAGCCCTAAACTCCCCTCCCAACACAGGTCCTAGACAGGGACTTGACACCCAAAACAAAAAACCAGAAGAGAAACAGAAATGGAGAGAAGCAACATAAAAGGAGAAGAGACTGCAGATAGATACCTCTTACCTGCATACAGCTGTCCCAAGCAGCAAAAGGCTAATACAGCCCAATAGCTGCACATGCTTGAGCCCTCCAGAAACCCACCACAAGAAGAAAAACAGTGCTGGGAGGCAACCCCCACTGAAGAGCTCCCACATCCACGCCCTCCCTGAAGTCAACCACACCTGCTCCTTTCCATAAGGTCCCCGTGGTTAGAAGTACCTGCCACCCTCAGCACCTCCCTATATGCTTGTTGCCCCTCCTGCTGAGGCGTCGCCAATCCCCCAGCTATTATCCAGGTGAGGAAGGGTGTTGCAGCTTTGATTTCCACCTGTTATTGGGCACCAGTGTAGTTCTCAGCAGTGCTATCCATGTAAAGAGAGCTTTTTTTCCTCACCTGAGTCATTGATAAGTGGCCTTGTTCTTTATCTTCTGCTGTCTAAAAACTTTTGAAATCTCTCATGTAGTGAAAATTTGGAACTGAATATCTGAACTGTGCATCCAGTCTGCAACATGGCTGGTTCTGATTCAGAGCTCTAAATTTGGGCAGCCTTAACAGAGCTTACAATTGCCTGCTGAATTATGTTTCCTGGGTTACATCCTGAAAAGTATAAGCCTTCTGTTTCTGGTTAATGCTAATGTGATTCAGGGCAACTACATGAAGAGCAAACCACTGGGAAATCTGAATCTGACCTGTGGTACTGAATTGTTCAGCTGAGAATATTCTTGATCAGCAATTGCTATCATGAATGGTCTATTACATAAGACCTCAGATTATAATATTATTAATCACCCACTTAAAATAGGGGAAAAAATAAATATCAGCAAGATTTTATAGAATTAATGGGGCTAATGTGATGTCACTGCAGCAACTCCAGATTTACACTAATATTGCTGCAGTTACATTATACCAAATCCATCTCCTTTATGGATATGCCCTGAGCCTCAGAAATCTGTTTGAAATATGTAATCAAATGATTATAATGCAATTTCCTCCCCATATGTGTCTCATTTGATTTCAAATTCTGCATGTCATCTTCAGTGTGTTTAGTTTGACTTTTTTCTCACACTACTTTTGAGGGAGAATATTGAGTACAGGAGTTAGCCTAGATTTGTACTGCTATAGAATAAGAATGAGTTGTTATTCCTTCTCACTCTACAATGTGCTCTAAGCCTGTGCTGGCATAAATACTTGGGTAAATTAGATTAAGCCAAAAAGATCTTACCCTTTTGTCTTTTATTCCTAAAAATCTGATTTTTATCATTTATACTAGGGGGTTTAGTTGTACAAACTTGGTACCTATCTGCTCGAGAGTTTTTATCCCTCAAAGCAGTATAATAATGCACAAAACCTGTAAGGTTTCTGACTCCACATTAAAAGCAGAGCTTAAGAACAACAAGATCTCTTTCTCCATCATAAAATCAATACTTTCTCCAAACAGTGACTCATGTAAAATCAAATCATGAATTCTTTAGACAGGTAACACTTCCAGAGCAGTCAGCAGTGGCTTTTTTTTTCTTAATACAGAAAATAGACACATTGTTTGCCTAATTAAAAAAAATATGGACACCAGGACATACTGAATGGCAGAGAAAAAGGAATATTCTACTTTGTGGAATGCAAGCCACTTCCAAAATTAGTCTTCCAAGTTTTATAAGAAAGTGCTGCTCCCTCATTCACTTTCTAAAGCATCAAAACAAACAACAGAAAAAAATATCAATTTTTAAAAATCAACAGAATAAGGCCCAGAATCACAACAAAATTTTTGATTTAATGGTGGCAATTTTTTTTTTTCAGATTCACAGCCATCAAACAATAAATTCAGCACTTATTACTCAGGCAAAACTGTGCATGACCTTCCTGGAATCTTGTCTGAATGAAAAGTGTGGCAAACTGCTCCTTGGGCTACAGTCACGCAAACTGTTACTCAGGTGACTAGTTTTACAACAGCCAGGAGTATGTCAATAGAGCTGCTCATCACAGAAAGTTAATCACCTTTCGAAGTGGTTACAGGATGACAATTGTAGTAATTATTTTTCATGGGGCTATTTTTTTAAGCCATCATGATTTACTTGAATACAAGGCCATCTTGTGCTCTGGTGGAATTCACCAGCCACAATAAGGGGGGATAACATTGCCTGTGTTGCGACATTTTAAAATTGTTGGGTTTGTTCCATGCTGAGAAGAATCTCAAAGAAAGGTAGAAAATTAATGTGACAATAAACTCTCTCAGCTCCATCTGTGCTGGCAGATGTGTCCTAAATTAGGACCAGATCTCATCCTTGCTTACAATTGTGTAAATCCATATTAACTCCACTGAAGTCAGGGGAGCTGGTCTGCATTTAAAGAATGTTACCATGAACAAACTTAACCTCAGTATAATTACAGTGTTCCCTGAAGGAAGCACAAGAGAAGGAATCAATGTAAATTCCTATGTCTTCATTTAAGCAACAATGCCCATTTTCTTGCTTTATGTTGTCTTGTGGGCGATTCTGGAGTAATTCATCGAAGCCTCCAGAGTCAGGTTGGATTGATGGCGCCGTGAGAACAAAACTTGCCTGTAGCCTTGGCTTTCCAGGGCTGTGTGAAGCCCATAAGGGTTTGAGGAGGATGAGGCCTGAAGTCCTGAAAAGCTGTGAAATGTATGGAGCCCTCCAGGATCTGAAGTCCAAACCCTCTTTACACTCTTGACTGTGGGTGTAGTAGAGATAACCCTCCATACTCTTGTGCTCCGTCTCTCTAGTCCACTGCATGGGCTAAAATTTATAGGTCACTTGCACGCCCAGCTCCGTGTGGAGACATGACAGTGTTTAATAAAGAGATTAAAAAGCATGGTGGTGACATCTACCAGTCACGAGACAATCTAACCCAAAGGGTGAGAAAGATGAATAAAATGTAGAATCTTTTTTAAAGTATTTTGAAAATCCTCACTAAATTTATGCATAGCTGTTATTAGCTTGTAATTTCCTGCAGGTATCCTGGTAGGTGTAGATCTTGAGGAATAAGCTGAAAGAGGAGAGGAGTAATGCCTTTGTGAATTAATTTTTGAAAAGCATTCCACTAATATGGGAGATCTGGAAAAGAACACAGAGGAAGTTCAAAAAAAAATTGATAAAACAGATGATCAAGTTTTGGAAGAGTGATAAAGAGCTGACACAGATAAAAAAATGGGAAAGTACAGAGATGCAGCATTGCAAAATACTGTGAAAGTGAGGACAAATCGGAGTGAGAAGCAATGGAAAAGTTTTTCCTTCTATACAGTCACTGTTCTTCAGACATGATCTCGCAGGAACTACAACCGCCTCTACTGCTCAGTCTTATGTATCATCTGGTCTGCAGAGGTTAACCACAAGGGAAGCAGCTGTCGTACTGCTCTTATGGTAAGACCATCTGTCCATTTGAGAGTGGCACCGAAACCAAAAACTCTGTTCGAAGAGGTTGCTGGTCAGCTACTTCATCTAGGGACTGGTATTAGAAGCATTGTCATGGGCAGTGTCTTGAAATCCAAGCTATTCTGGCAATGAAAACTTTCATCTAATAGTAAATATCCTTCAGTCACTACTGCACTGTGTTTATATCATAAGGCTTCAGATGAAAGGGAGAATTTTCCCATTTATCCAGGGAGAAAACTCACTGAAGGAGGAGGTGAAATACCTCTTAAAGACATTTCTCTCTCTCAAAGTCTTCCCAGAATACTTCAAGGCAGTAGGAGATTCACATCTCACAAGGTCTTCTGCACAAAGGCCACACTGAGTCTTGGTACTGCTCTGCAGTTCTGAAATCTCTTTGATATGTCTTTGGCTTCCTGGAGAATTATTTCTATCCTTTGTTGCTGCCACAAGGGGCATTCACTTCTGATCGTAAAATCTACGCACCTATTAACATGGCCTCAGGATTTATTTTCAGGGTCTGTCTTCCTCCTTTCCTAATAAAGTCCCTTTGCATGTACAGATTATGAATCTCTGGAAGAGCTCTTCAAACTGCTTTGTTAAAAAAGAGACCGGTGTGATGGAGATAAGCCCCATCCTACATTCACTCAGCACAGGAACAGACTTGTGTGCTGAGTGGGGGTCCCATCTGTGCACAGATTGGAGCAGCATGACTCACTGAGCTATTGATCTCCTTAAATTAGAAATCTTTCATGTGTTCATAAGTAAATATGAAGGCTCAGTTAGAAAGATGAGAACTTGGAACTTATTTTATCATCTGGTGACAATTAATTTTGTGCAAACCTGAAAGGTCAAGCAGTGCAAACATCAGGAAGGGAAAAATAACTTTCTGCTGAACAAATCAGGGCCACACCATTGTCTAATATAAATTGGCATGGTTCCATTGAGGTAAATTTCTTACAAACAGAAGAACTGGTCCTTCTTGCATTCCCCTCAGAAATCACATGTAAGATCTTATCACTGCAGTAAAGCCCAACCAATTGCAGAACACTGAAACATCTGCAGGCTGGAGGAGCCTGGGGTTAAAATGAAAGGCCTCTTTGTTACACAGAACTTACGGTTTCCTTTGCTGAGGGAATGTCTTACTATCTGCAGTTATCTGCTTGAACTTTCATCTCATCCTGTTAAGAACTGCTAAGAAGTACTTCTTTTTATGAAAGTCCCAGGTTTACATGATAGTGTAGATGTTCTTAATAAATGCAAGCACCATGTGCTGCAGCCTTCTCAGAACTGCCCCTTGTGGCTGATCATTTGTGCCAGGCAGGTCAACACATTGGTCCCACCCTTCTTCACTTACAAAATGATATTTTCCTACTTCAGTGAATCCACCATTGGTTGAGCGGCTTGTTCTAAACATCAGTTATAATGAGGAGTCACACTGCTGTAGAAGGGGAAGAAGAGATTTGGTGATTCAGAGTGGTTGGATAATTCTGCATTGTATCTATGACCAAAGTAACATGGGTTTTGATGAAGAACTAAGCAAAGCTGACAGGAGATGGAGTTAGTCTTCCTGGCCTATGAACTGGCTGCATTCTCTAGGCTGCAGTTTGTGTTAACTAGCTTTGTGCAAAAGTAACTTGACTGTGTTAGTGTGACATGAGTCAACACAATAACCCTTTCCCTGGCTGATGT